AGCTTATTCTCAAAATTTTAATGAGTGACAGAGTTGAACTTCAACTCATGTCTTTTTTATTACAAAATGTTGTGGCCTGTTCTTTCTACTTGTCTACCTTATCACAAACTACCCTTAAAATGTTGTCGATAAATACTTATAGCTACATATTCATAGTTTATGATTTAAAAATAAAATGTCCCACTTCTAAAATATATCAACACTTTTATACTAGATTGAAGGCTTATTTTTCTCTCTACATGCATTAAAAATTCTAAGTAGTGGTAAAAATCATTTTTATGTACTCACAAACAATACAATGGATATGAACATGATATGGCATGAGCAATAAAGTTTTACAAAGTCATTGAAAACCAAGTCATAGATGACCCTCCAGGAAATTTTTCTGAGAATGTAAATCACACAGAAGAAACCTGTCCATCTTTCTCCTGAGCAACAGCAGGTGAATTTAGACCACCTGAATGGCACCTCCCTTTTGGTTAGCAGTGCAACTTAGTGGCTCCCTAAGACAGTAAGAATGTATGTTATGTCATGTGTCTTAAGAGATAGAACTGACTTGCAGCTGACTCTCCAGTTGCATACAGAGAAAGAAAATTGAAAAGGAGCTAATTCTTAATCTTTCTTCCATGGAGCAGCTGGTGATTTCGAAGTGCGTTCTACTGGGGTTGGCAGCATAGCTCCTTATTACTACTAGGTCACCAGAGCTCCCTTTGATAATATGTCACTGTTGTTATTGTGTTCCATCTGATCAGAACGACTCATAGCAGACCCTCCAATGGGGTTTCAGAGGCGGTAAATCACATGGGAGGAGACTGCCTATCCTCTCCTGCAAAGCAACTGGTGGATTCAAACTCAGTGTCTTTGGGACTGCAAATCCAATTTCATACCAATAGGCCACTAATAATTATTACTTTCATTTCTGTTCCTTCTACTAGACTATGAGTTAAATTACACATCCAAGTGTTCTATTAATGATATCAATTTAGAATGCAGCTCAGTGCAAGTCATATAATGATGTACCATAAAAATTATTAATAGACACACATTTAAAAAAACAACAAATGTAGTTACTATGTACTGTCGAGTCAGAACAGACCCGTAGCTGACCCTCCAGAAGGTTTTTCAGTCAGTAAACTGCCCGGGAGGAGATTGTGTGTCTTTCTCCTGATGAGAAGCTGGCAGATTTGAACTATGAGCTTTTGGGCTGGCAGCACACCTCCTTACTACTAATCCAACAGAGACCCCTAAGAAAAAAGAACTTACAGTATATGTTATAAACCTTTCTCAAAACTTATAGCTACACATAAAAATGTAAATAATTGTTTTTCCTGTATAGTTAATTAGCAAAGTGCTTCTATTTTACAAATTGGAGAAAAGTGACATTGCATTTTTTTTTACATTTCTCTAAATTTACCTAGCATGAGACTTAACAGACTTTTTGATTCCAGGGGCACTTTAAACACTTTAATATGGCTGAGGATGTCAAAGAGTGCCTGCTTTTACAGATTATACTTTCTGTATTACAAATTCAAACTGAGATTTTAATAATTCTATTTGGTAACAATAAAAAGAACAATATACACAATTTTTTTTACAATGAATCATGTTTGGGTTGTTTTTTTAAAAACACACACACCCATTTTATGAAACAAAAAAATACATTGAGAAAAGTGGCAATATTTTACATTTTTCTAAATATGCTCAGCATGGGGCTTAACAGAAAATAGCTAATAATTTAAACACAATCTGTTATGATGATGTAACAAGCAGTGCTCTAAAAGCTAAGAGGATGAAGATGGGCATGGTAAATGCCACCTTCGCTTTACCATGAATACAATTTTGACCTCTGGATCCTCTACAGAGCCTTGAGGACTGGGAAAGTTTCCCTGATCACACTCTCACAACACAGTGAACAACTATTATTGCCTCTATTTTAATTTTATATTAGTTTGCATACAAAGTCCATATACATAATATTTCACACTATTCTTCATTCATATTGTTTCATACAATCATTCCCACACCTTATGTTTTATAAAATTAATCACCATTAGACCTTACCACCATTACTCTGTCTTTTCAGGTGTTTTGAGACTATTTTTGTCTATAAAATAGGAAAATCTCTTTCTTTGCTTTTGCGAAGTATTTCTTGTACATAATTAATTTAAAAAACATTTGAATGCTATACATAGAACATTCCATGAAAATATTATAAAATTTATGTGTTGTAAAAGTATTTCTACTTTCAAAAGATTATGTAACCAAAATGAAAGCTTTTTGATAAACACTTTCTACTTTTTTTGGGACAATAGATTTTATACATATTCATAGTTTTTTTCCACATCTTTATTTTGACTAGGAAAATCGGTTAAATTGTTCACTCAATGTTTTCATCAATGATAAAGCTAGTGGACACTTGCTGTTGTCTAAATATGACAAAAATATTTTTAAAATTCCATCCACATTAAAAATGTAATGACAAAAGCATAATAAAACTTAATGTGTTTAGTATTTACGTTTCAACAAATTTAAAAAATAGTTAATTCTGTTTTAATTATTCCAACTAACTCATAGTTAATTTTAAAAGGTATTCCCAGACAACAAACTACTTAATCTATAAATACTCAGCTTGTGTTTAATTATAAGTGTATAAGATCTTATATATTATAGATTAAAACTAAAATATCAAAGTAAGAAACTAGTGATATGTCCTTCATATAGCAAAATATTTATATCATCAAGCCTGGCTTTGAATTGGTCAACACATAGTATAGGTTCTAATCAAGACTGTAAACACACCATGTCAGTGTTCAAACATCATTAGTATTAAAACTGTTAAGCACAAAATACCAGAGCTTGTCATTGTTGGTTCTAGGCTTGCATATAAAGGTACACAAAACAATCTGAGATACTAAGATCTTATTTGAAAATAATACATTTATTTTAAACATTTAATTAACCACAGTAGCACCTTTTCTAAAGACTTAGAATAAATACATACAGTTGTAATCTATGAAATGTAAACATAACAAGAAAATACTACTAAATTCTCTTATATACGTAAGATAAAGAGGGCTATCATACAAAGTTAATAAATTTATTGTTCTTTATGACAATTTGCTTTTCCCAGTTTCTAAAATACGAATGTACAGAGGAAACTGTGCTTAGTTTTGGGGCCACATTATTTACAAGAAAAACCAATCTCATTTATTTCTACTTGTTTTTTGCACTTACATTTTTTTCTAGTTGTACTAAAAGCCAAGGGATTTTAAAAAGTGTTTAAAAGATAATAATAGCATCAAGCAGATTAGTCCTCTAACATAGTATAAAAATAAAAAAAGAACTAAACAACAGACAACATGATATAGGATTCTGATGATTTAGTAAAAAATATTTTAACATCTTTGTCCTACATGCTGAACAAATTAATAATTTAGGAATTGCTGTTAGGCATTTGAGCATGAAGAAACTGAACTAATGTGTAAACATAATCTGTTGTTGTGTATTGTAGAGTCAGAACTGACCTACAGCTGACACTGGTGGGTTTTCAGAGGCAGTAATTGCAAAGGAGGAGACTGCCCAGCTGTCTACCACGAAGCAGGTGGTGGCTTTGAACCACTTGCCTTCGGGATTGCAGTGCAGCTTCTTGCCATTAGGCCACTAGAGCACCAATAAAAAGAATTACTTATATTTAAAAAAAGAAATTAAATAATATATTTAGTAAATTATCTTTAAAAAATAATTATATATATATATGAAAATTTATTAAAAAATAAAGAAAAATAAATCTCTGGATTTTAAGATTTGCTCCTGAAATTTCACTAGTTCTTAAAATAATGTATGAACCACAACAAAGTTATGAAAGGTTAAATTTTTGTGTCTGAGATAAGAAAAATTACCCAATCATAAAAGGGAAACAAAATAGGAAAATAAAGATAAAATTTTCTCAAAGCAAAATCTGTTCCACGTCTACACTCCCTGAAATATGCAAGCAATGCTAGCAGATACACTAAATATGTATTTCCTCTTGTTCCTTGTATCAGTATTTGCAAAACTCCCAACATGTGCAGAATGTCAGATCTACTACCTATACCTTTATCTACAAATACTCATGTTTATGATTATTTTCTGTCTAAGGTACACTGACTACACAATATAAAAAATGTATTTTTATGAGAAAACAAAATATTCATCTTTTGACATTTATTAACTCTGGAAAAATTTCTATTTCAGCTGGCGTATTCAAATAATACCTTTTTCTAAATTATAGAAACTCCACCCCCTCCAAAGGGTCAAAGCTTAAAAAGACTGAGTGACTATCAGATGGAAGGAGATTCTAGAATCATGACTACTCAGTGCAACATATCATCCTGGGTTGAATACCAGACCAGAAAGAAGAAATATTACTAGAGAAACACATAATATGAATATAGATTGTACATGTGCTGATAGTATTATATCAATGTAAGGTTCCTAGTATTGAAAATTTTATATTGGTTATGTAAGACATTTACTTTTAGTAAAGTTGAGTGAATGCTACAAATAAATTTTCATATACTTATTGAAAATCTAAAATTATTTCAAAATAAATAGTTTGAAAAAATTATTTATTTGGTTTGCAAAAGGTCATTAAAACTCTTAATGAACAGTGTTAAAACTGAGTAAATATTCCTTAGAAAGATACAAAATAGTTTCTTGACTCTTAAATAAATAACTTACAGTCTTAAAAACAGTGACCATAAACACTTCATTGAAAAGAACATTTTCACCCCTTGTATATATAAAATAAACATTTTTATATAAAAGAAGGCTCAAAATCAGTTGAGAACTTCTTAGGTAAAAGGTTATATACCATTAATGTAAATTGTGTTCAAACATATTCACTACTTTTAAAAAAGTTTATATTAAAAGTGTTTCATAATCCAAGAAATAATCTCTGCAGAAATAAAAGGCATACAGCAATTCCAATCCCATGAACTGGTTTACTTTTTTTGCCGTACCTGACACTGTGTGATCCTTAGAGTCTCTTGCTATTTTTATCCTTGCATGAGGAAAGATGTACTGCATAGTCTTCCCATTCATCTGTAGAATCTAAGACATACAGATGGCAAGTTTAAAAAAAATGTTAAAGTCACTTAAAGCATTATTTAATCCTCCCCTGTCAACACAAACACACGGCCTTAGATTCTTTTCATGGTGACCTTACATGAAGTTTCTAGGCCTTGAATCTTCAATGCTAAAGAAAGTGTATCTTTCTCCCTCATAGTTGTTAAGGTATATGAACTACTGATATTTGGGATTAACGTTCTAACTCATAATCTGCTACATCATCAGCACTCCTTATTTAGATGTGCTTATTACTCGCTATGTGTCAGAAAGCTGGACAATGACTAGTGATGATAGAAGGAGAAATGACGGATGGATAGAAGAACAAACAGGTTCATCCTAAAGAGGGTGAAAGCAGGCTGCTTCTTTGATGCAAGGATTCTGAAGCTTTGACTGACATAATTTGGACATGTTGCAAGGCGGGATCAGTCCTTGGAGGATGCCATGCTTGGGAGCATGGAGGGACAATGCAAGAAAGGAAGACCTTCAATGAGATGGACTGATTCAGTGACTGGGGTAATGGTGGTAGGTGTGTCAGAGACAATAAGATTGGCACAGAACATAGCAGGGTTTAGGGCTGTTGTACATAAGGTCACTGTGTGTCACAAGCAACTTGATGGCACATAATAAAAGCAACATATTAAAATACATTGATTAAAAAATACATTGGTTAAATCAATATGTATATTTAAAAATTTCAAATGATAAGAATTTATTTTAGAACAGAATAAATAATTGGTTTTGGGTACTTACATCAAAGTTTTATTTACAACTACAATCTTTTATTTAAAACTAGTTGTTCTTGCAAACTGGTGTGTTTTATTTGGCTAGTTAATGACAAAACAGAACATTTTAAAGAATGTAAGCAGACAGTAGACAATAGAAATAAGCAGAAAATAATCAAAGGCAGTGGATACACTATGCATGTAACACATTGATTTGGGTGTGGACAGTTTAGAAATGGGTCACTTCTAATGAGTCAGTTAGGATGAGGTGACCCTTCGTGAGTTTCTGAGGTTGTAAATCTTTGCATGAGGACAGAGCACCTGTTGAAATCAAACTGCCTGCTATCGTGTTAGATGTCCAAAACCTTAGATATTATACTACCAAGGCTCTTTATAAATAGAAAAATATCCTAAATATTCACCAGTTATATAGTGCTATGAAAGAAATACAGCAGATGTTGTGAAGATAGTGTATACTGGGGCTAAGTTTTGATCTATTATTGTACATAATGTTTCCTTTGTGTCAGATTGGACTTCACGGTACCTACCAACAACATGAAAGAAATGCCAGGTATAGTTCTTAAAAATTACACCTCTATCACCATCACTGGATTGTTTTACGCTTACTTTATCTTGGTTTTATTGAAGAATTATAGTTTTGCTGAGCATATCTAATAATTCTGTGTAAGTAAAAGCTTTTTTTTCTAATCTGCTCTGAGGCTTTCTTTAAAATCAAGCCTTGTGTGATTGTTGGAGTCAGTTTTCATTTGTTGTAGATGTTCTCTAGGATAAAACAATCAGCATGCACTTAAAGCTACTGTTACAAGGCTGTGATTTCAATGTTTAATACTGAATCTTCAGCATGTGCATACCTATAGGATACATTATCTCTATTTTCACCTGGAAAATTGAGTTTTCAGAAAAAAATTAAATCAGTGGGTGCAGACTATTGCTTTATATTTAATATGTTTTTACTTTCAAAGCAGATTTGTAGAAGAATTGAAGATGCTGAGGATTTTTTTTCTTTCTTGTTTTTAGGTATTAGGTGGTGTTCAGTAAGTTTCTACTAATGGCAACTCCACATACAATAGAAGAAAATAATTACCCATACTTGCACTATTATCAAAATATCTGCTGTATTTGAGCTAAGTGTTGTTGCCTCTGTATCAACTGTCTCACTGAAGATCTTCCTCTTCTTCACTGACCCTTAAACTTATGAAGTATGATGTCCTCCTTCAGTGTCTGACTTCTCCTGATAACAAGTCCAAAGCATGAAAGATGAAGTCTCACCATCCTCACTTCCTAAAAGCATTCTGACTATATTTCTTTCCAGATAGATCTGCTCACTCTCCAACTACTCCATATTCTTTGTCAACGTATCATAATTAAATGAAAAAATCATTATTGGTCTTCCTAATCACCGGGGAGCTCTGGTGGCCTAGTGGCAAGAAGCTGTGCTGCAGTATTGAAGGTACACAGTTCGAGGCCACCAGCTGCTGAGTAGAAGGACAGACAATCTCCTCACATGGAATGAACTGCCTCTGAAAACCCACAGCTATGGGTCAGTTCCAACTCTATGGTACATAACAGCAAATCACTGGTCAGCTTTCATGCATTTATGAAATGATGCAAAGCACCAATGCACCCTAGTTCTCAAAAATACATCCTTGGTTTTTAATACTTTAAGGAGTTCTTAAACTGCTTATTCAGCTATATTCTGGTATCTCATGAGCTCAATTAATTGGTCTAGGATTTTATTCTTCTCAATGTTATTCATAATTTGCTGTGATTCGCATAGTAAAGTGACTTTCTATAGTTGATAAAGCATAAATAAACAGTCTCTGCTTTGAGCAGGATGCTTCTGAAAATCAGCCTATTTCACAAAACTCTTAAATCTAACTTGAAATTGTGGCAGATCCTTGTTGAACTTGTATGTGATGTTAATGATAATATTTTACAATTTTTAAACTCTGCTGGATCACTCTTTTTGAGGAGTAGGATTAAATACAGATCTCTTCTAGTCAGTTGGCTAAGTATCTATCTTTCAAATTTCTTGAGATAAGCTAGTGTACACAACCAGGACAACATCTGCTTGTTGAAATATGTCAAGCTGGTATTCCATACATTCTTTTTGCCAATATGTTCAGCGAAACTTGAACTTCGTCCTTTAAAACTACTAGTTCTTGATCATAATTCCTGAAATGGCTGTTCAGTGTTGACCAATTCTTTTTTGGTACAGTGACTTTGTATATTCCCCCCACCTTCTTTTGATGTTTCCTACATTATTTAAGTTCACATGGCTGAAAGAAGGATTTCTGGGAGACACATGCCATTTCTTGTTCTGTGTGGAGATTGTGTGATATTTTCTCTTTATTTGTTGTTGATAACTTTGCACTTTATTGTTTTGATAATTGCATATACATTGTTTGCATACATACTCAGTAAGTAAAAATTACTCTTGAAAAAAAAATCATTACTAAGAGCAAACGTGTACTGAAACAATAGTCAAAGCAGTAATTATATGTTTCCCAATTTCCCAAACTCTGAGAACAGAAGAATATGATGTTGCCTAGCTATCAATTTCAATGAGATCACAGATTGTCCACTCTTAATGGGATCACAGATTATGGGCGCAGCAGGAGCGATTCATGAACCAAAACAAAAAAACAAAAACCAAAACCCCAAAACCCTAAATAGTGCTACCCTTATTGGTCTGACAGAGATTGGTGGAACTCCCAAGTCTATGGCCATTAAGTCATCCTTGGAATCTGGAATAAAACTCATACCCATGGCTCAACTTTAAGCTAGACAACTGAAAGATCTACAAGGTGATTAAAGGCACCAGAAAGACACTCACATCTTAGACTAACCAATCATAAGGGTCCAAAAAAGTGTCATTTGGTCATATAGAAGACACTGAGAGACGGCTAGGAGAGAAGGATTCATGCAGATGAGATATACAGGAATTATAAGCAGTCTCCTCCTGTTTTTTAATTACAGTCTTGGAAATCCAACAAAGTGTTACTCTGAGTCAGAATTGACTGAATGTCTGTGAGTGAGTGAATCTTTCACTTACCTTCCAAAATCAATTAAAACATTACTTAATTTTTAAAAATGCAAAATAAGGCCATGACTTTTGGTATCATATTTATCAGATATTTAGGTTTACCTCTAGGTTTTAGATTCTTCACATATAAAATGATATTAATAATACTTTGGGTGGCCAAGTAGGTAAGGAGTTGTGCTGCCAATCCAAAAGTGAGTGGTTTGAATCTATTGCTTCATGGAAAAAAGATGAGAAATCACCTCCTAGCAAGTTTAAAGTCTTTGCAAACCTGCTAGAGGGTTACCTTTGAGTCAATTCAGAATTGATAACAATGAGTTTGACTTACATTTTTGTTTTGTAAGCTAAAGCTCAATGATTAAAGTGAAACAACTGACTTTCCCATATAATACTTGAAACCTACTGACATCAAGTCAATTCCTACCGACTGGACTCTTCCATAGGGTTTCTGAGACTGTAAGTTTTAATGAGAAGACATAGTGCATCTTTCTCCCAAGGAGCAGCTCATGGATTTAGACCACTGGAGAGGCTTGGCCATTTGATTATCAGTGCAACATACAGACTATACCACTAGAGTTCCCTTTCTCATAAGATAGACTTGATTAATACATCACAGAGTTTACCTCTCCTCCAAGTGGAATCTTTGCCCCCAAATTGGCTAAGTTTGATCATATCCTTTGCTATTCTTTAGTATTTGAAAGACAGTTTCTGAGTAGTATTCTACATTGTCCAAATCTATTTCACTGAATATTATGTAAACTCCATGCTTGGTCCTTGTAGAGAAATGACAGATATGCCATTTACACTTAATAATTATCAACAAATCACCTGGCTGACAGAGAAATATCAATTATTCATCAATGCAAACAATGCTAATTTAATTACAGATGAAGTGGAGTACTCACCATTTTCAATCATTGGGGAGAAAGATAACTTGACTGACAAAGGTAACATGTATTCATTTTCCATAAGTGAGATAATTCCACAGTATAAATCAGCTATTTTGTTTTTGTTTGGGTTGATAAACATAAAAGAGGTGGCACTTACTTGCTCTTGATGTTGACTGAGTGGTCTAGAGTGGACTAATCTTTCTGGTAATTTTCGGTCTAAACCATGTCCATTTTCCAAACGAGACTCCCTGGGTTTGTCAAACCAATCTGTTTCCTCACGGCGAAGGTGATAAGCTTTGGAGACCAAGGAAACATAATACATTGCAATGCCAACTGTTACAGATGATAGAAAAGATGGCCTGAAGTAACATGCATAAGCTTGTTAGTCATCCATGCAACTCAGTTCTGTGATTAAAAAAATAGTCTCATATTATGCTAAAAATTAAATTATATTAAACATATTATAATGTGAAATAACCTATAGAAAAATGGTATCTATCTATTTAACCTCCCAGAGCATAAAAAACATTTGAATTTTATAAATAGTAAATGAGATATTATATAGTGATGTATAGACTGAAAGTTAAATCCTGTAAGCTTCTGAGAAGCTCAAGTGTGGGACCATAGAATTATTTAAAGTTCTTATTCAGGGTTAAATGAGAAAAAGAGAATCAAATGTGTAAAAATAAACAAAAAACCCCAACAAAATACCATAAAAGCTTGATACTCCAAAAATTGTAAGGAGCTATGGAAAATGAAACCATTTATTCACTTTTAGGACCTCCATAAAAATAATCAACATTCAATTTGACTTAATTTTCTTTTTTTTTTTAGGATCTACAATGTGTGTGTGTGTGTGAAAACTTACAATTGCAGAGCAGAATATTAATATATTGAACAAATGCATTTAAATAAATATTTCACTCTATTAAGACTAAAGTCACTCTTGGAATATATTTTATTGTATTAGTTTGATCTGAATGCATAAAATCCATTATAATTATCTAGCATCTTTAGGTAGATTTCTCTAAATATTTAGAAGGAAAGAATTTCCATTTAAACACTTGTCTTGATGCACCATGAATATTGCAATTATAATATATAGGTGCTTCCACAGCCCAAACCATGACACATTATGTCAGTTAGCATTCAAAGTGATTCACCTTAAAGACATTTGTTTGTAATGCAAAATGATTTCAACTCAGACCAACCTCTAAGGCAGAGTCCAGTTGCTGCATTACTTTGTAGGCTTCAATCTTTAGAAGAGTGGCTCTCCATTTCTTTTCATTTATGGAAAGGTTGGTGAATTTGAACTCTCTTTTTTTGGTTAGCAACTGGACAATTTTTAGCCACAGTATTCTCAAGGTTCTTGCATTTAACTTCGTTGTTATTTACTGTCAAGTCAGAACTGATTCCTAATTGATTCCCAACTGATTCCTAATTTTAAGAGTAAATTAAATGGATTTTCCTCCTGCAAAGCAGCTGGTGGATTCTTACATATCTCTAAATTACTGGAATTACTGAGTAATTCCAATCGTTTGTTGTTGCAGTTGTTAGGTGCCATCAAGTATGACTCATAGTGACTCTCTGAAAAACAGACTGGAATCTTGTCCTATACTGTGACATCCTCATTGACTCTGACACACTTGAGCCCACTGCTGCAGTCATTCTATCTCATCGAGGGTGATCCTCTCTTTCTCTGACCTTCCACTCTTCCTAGCATGATGTCTCTCTCAAGAAATAGCTTCTCAAAAAAAAAAGAAAGAAAGAAATAGCTTCTCCTAGCACTTGGTCAAAGTATGATAAAATATGCTTTGCCATCTGCCTCCAATGAGTCTCTGGCTGCACCTTCTCCAAGATCTATTTATTTGTTCTTTTTTGGCAGTTCCTGGGATTGCCAGTACTCTTCTCCAATATCACAAGTCAAAGGCATCAATTCTTTTGTCATTTTTATACATTGTTCAGCTTTCAGATTATTGCAAGTGACTGAAAAGATCATGGCCTGAATTTGGTGGACTGTAGCCTTTCATCTGGCATCATTGCTCTTCAGTACCTTGGAAAGATCCCTGACAGCAGAATTGCTCAATGCAGTAGTTAGAAAAAGAAAGAAAAAAGAGAGAGAACACTTGCTCTCTTGATCTCCTGACTGCTTGCACCAAGTGTGTTGTTTGTGGGTCCAAGCAAGATGAAATAATTGACAAATGCAAACATTTCTTCATGTATAATGATGATGTCTACTGGCCCAGTGGTAATAAAGTATAGCGGTGTTAAGTTAAACATAATTGACAGTATTTATTTTGTCCTAGACCTTAGTCTAAAAAGTGCTGTTGGTTGTCATTGTTAGGTGCTATCGAGTTGAGTACAACTCAAAGGGACCTAAGAGCAGCAGACCTGAACCCAGCCATTACCTGTGCTAACTTCATGAGCTTTGCCACACTAGATCCCATTGCTGGAGTCACCATGTCAATACATGTCCTTGGAGGGCTGCTGCTTCTTCTTTGCTGACTCTCCATCTTTCCAAACATCATGTTCTTGACCAAGGAATATCCTCACCAGTTACATGTCCAAAGTATGAAAGAAGAAGCTTCGCCATATTTTCCTCCAATAAGCACTCTGGCACTTTCCCCAAGCTGTTTCTGTTCATTCTTTTGGCAGTCCATGGGATATTCAGTAAACTGCTCCAGCATCACCTTACCAAAACTCTGAATTGAAATTCTACTTTCAATTAGAAAAAAGCACTGTTCTTATTTTACCAGTTAGTTGCTCATATATTTTTATTGCACTTATTGATATTAATTATATTTAAAAAAATAAGTTTAGCTATATTTGCTATTCACTTAAGAATGGACATAGTAGTTTAATGTTGTTGTTGTTAGGTGCCATCAAACATGACTCATAGAAACCCTATGAACAGTAGACCTGAATCCATTTTCATCATCTTTAATATATTTGAGCCCATTGCTTAAGTCACTGTGTCTATTAAACCCTGTTGGGGGTTGTCCTCTCTTTCACGGAACCTCCACATTTCCAAGTATGATATCGCTTTCCAAAGAACAGCTTCTCCTAGCAATACTTCCAAAGTATTTGAGATAAAGCTCTACTGTCGTTGATTCCAAGTAACACTCTGATTGCACCTTTTCCCAGATATATTTGTTTGTACGTTTTGGCAGTCCGTGAGATTACTACAATTCAAAGGCATCAATTCTTCATCTGTCATCCTTATTCACTGTCCAGCTCTCAGAAGCATAGCAAGTAATTGAAAAGACTATGGCCTGAATCAGGCATGGCATACTTTAGCCTTCAAACTGACATCATTGCTCTTCCGAATTTTGGAAAGGTTCCTGACACCAGACTCACCCATATTGATATGTCTCCCAGTCTCTTGATTGCCAGTTACAAAGGTGTTGATTGTGGATCTAAGTAAGATTAATTAACAGTTTCAATTCTTTCTCCATCTATTATGATGTTGCTGATGGCCCAGTGGTAAGGACTCTTGTTTTCTTATTTTGCTGATATGTGGTATATTACTGACCGTATTTCCTATGCCCCTGGCCTACTATAACAATTAAGTATTATTAATAATAATAATATTAATATACTGGAAGGTATGCAAAATTCTTAAAAAAAGGTTAAACCAACTATTTATAAATCCCTACAATTATGACATTTCCCCCTCCTGTTACTAATATATCCTGTTATTAGTATATTCAGTCTGTTAACTTGATCAAATTTGTTTAAAGAGCTACTAGAGGCTTACATTTTCTCCTACTTACTGATCTTTATTATATTTTCATGCTTACTGTAAACATCTTGTCTTTCTCTGTACTTTTCTCTCAAATTTTCCTGGAAGGCTATACAACAGCTTCTCTGTTTTGAATATGTTTCCCTTCAATTCTACAGTGCAATGTAGCCACTGGTATATTCTCCACTTAAACATGGTACATACCTATTTTAGTCTCCTCCAACATCTTATATTTCTTTCAAGGAAAGGATAAATTTAAAACTTAGTTCATAGATTTTTTTTTTCTTCTATTTAATTTTCTACATAAATAACCACATACTCACCATGCACGTCATTCCTTTTCCAAAATCTCCATAAGTTTATCAAGGAAACATTGTACAAGTGACTTAGAGAAATATATCTGAAGGGGAAGTACTAGGATCAGTACAAAATCTTTTCTGATTTCTTTTTTCAAATTCGAAAGCCACTTAGCACAAAAAAGTACCCCAGTTTTAGGAATAAGTAAAATAGTGAATTAGTGAATAAATGGCAAATAAATCACAGAATATTCCTCAAAAATGGTATTTTGTTATATCTCAGTAAATAAGTGCTCACGTTCTCATCTACTACCCATTTTCATTCCACAACTTTAAGTGTAAGAGGCATATCTTATCCACCTATTGTCAACACACAGCTGCTGGCTTTGAACCTTTAAGAGGTATTTCATGCAAATATGGGAAAAAACACATACATTCCTAAGAGAGAAGCACCTGGTAATCAAATGTCAAAATGAAGTTAATTATACTTTTTAATCAAAATAGAAAATAAAAGCTGAATGGATTACTTAGTACTTTTTAATCAATTATGAATAATGAATGGATTTTTTAATTGGATAGGACAAATGATAAAATATATTTTTCAAATGCAACAACATGTACGTATATAATTATTATTGTATGTAAATTTTAAATTATTTATTCTATTCAGTTTTTAGCATCTTCTGAGGCTTTTAAATGTTAATGACTAAAAATTATATTCTACCTAACAAGTAGAATTTAGCTTACTGAAAGATGTTTTATTTCTCCTAAAGGATAATTACTAGTCTCTCTGGAAGCTCCTCATTTCTTCCCTAAAGGAAAGGGCTAACGGAGCAGCCCTCCTTAAGTGCTCACCCTGAAAGCTTTTTGATGCAGCTGTTGATTTCATGCTTTCATGAGATCCTATCTTCTGCAATACTGTATTATGAAGCTCTTCTGCCCCCATTAGAGTTTTCATTTTATTGTCTCTCTGCAAATATTTTCATTCTTTTATTCTTTCAAAACAATTACCCTAGATTTTCTAGGTACGTTTCAGCATCATTTTTATTATTATTTTACCAGCAAGGCTGGTAAATATATAGCATAGAGTCTACTACTTACCTCTACATTGTGTCTGATGCTACTTGATGTTGCTAGTTAACCATAGCATCTTCCCTTGGTAAGCACAGGCTAACAAGTCATATGTCATAGTTTAATTATTTTTAGATTTGAGAAAATACTACAGTACACACTCGGTTTGTGTTTCCACATATATTTGTCTGATTTCCCCTATTAGATTTTAAGCAGCTCAAAAATGAAAAGAAATCTTCTGCCTTCTTTTTTTAATTTTTCCTCTCTCAATATTAAAAACAATGCTGTGCACATGGTGTAACATTAAAAAAAATTTGTTGAGGGAAGGAAACACAGAACAAATAGTCTTCAGCTACAGAAAGAAGTTAAATATCCTAATCAGGATAGTACTTTTAAATAAATATAAATTTGTTCCTTATGAAATATTTTCTTATCATCTATTCAATATTTATTATGTTTTACAATAGTCTTGGAATGCTGTTAATTAACTAAATATATAAAAAATACTATAGTAAAATTGGATTAGTAAATGCAAGGAAAAGCATTATTTAATCATTCATGTAAAATCTTACTGAAATATCCCCAAGTGCAACACTGCTTTGCCACTTCTCAAATATTTTCACTGTTTTCCATGAAAAGAAAAAAAACATATTTCTATTGATTTAAATATCTTACAAAATACACTAGATTATTTAATTTGATGTTTAACTTTCCTTCATACAATTGAAAGATAATCCTCTAAAAAATGTCCATTGGTCTTGCTTGAGTCTACACAAATAAGGTAGACACTTAACCTGATGCATATCTCTTTTATTTACTTCTAATGCTGATTACTTTTATTTTCTATTGTAATATGAAAAAATCCCATGTCAGCAAACAAGGCTATCTTTTGTTTAGGATAAGCAAAAAGCAACCAGACTTAAAAATTCCATTTTTTTCTTGAATTCCACCTTCATTTAGATTGCAGTTTACACAACTGTGGATGATTTTTTGATTTATCTGGTCTGTCCTGTTTGAAAACTTAAATTTCATAGTATTAGCATTTCGGAATTTAAATATTTCAGACGAAATTCTCCTCTTCTGTCAAACTTAATTTTTTTCAATTATTAAATGTAAAAATACAACTAATTTTATTATTTACATCGTGTTCTGACAGCAATGTGGCATGACTAGTCTAATTTTCCATATAACATAAAAGCTAAAACATTTAAAAATATATGTGTATTTTAAAATATATACATATCCTTTAAATGCATGATGTTTATATCGAAAGAATGATTTTAACAAATGATTTATGGTTATAGAGAGAGTTTAATTATTGCAGACTTCTTTTCATTCTGACTCACAAGAAAGATTTCAAACTCTTTATTTACCCCAATACCTATGTATGGAATTAAGCTATGACTTTTTAGATGAAGTAACACATACTAAGCAGTTTAAGTTATGGCTTCTCAGATTTTACTTTGAGTGGGACATTTCAATGTTTACTGGAGTCATATAGAATACACCTGGAAAATAACTTATAGTCTGTATCACAGAATTAAACCAAATTCATAAAAATATTTAACAACAAATGTGAAATCACTTAAACTTGTTTTGTCTACATAGCATTAGGTAATTTGTTGGGATTTTACATGGTCCAAAGTTATGTTAGGATATACAAAAACCTCACAAACTATACGAAAAATCCCACAAAGCAACAAAAACCTCTCATTGCAGTGGAGTCTGAATTGACTCATAGTTGACCCTCCACGGTAGGTAGGACACTTCCCAATTTTCTCCCGTGGAGCTGTTGGTGAGTTTGAAGTACCAAAAAGGTGCCACCTGGGGGTAAGCAGTACAACTCCACAGGAACTATGGCATCTGAGTGCCATAAACAGATAAACAGATTCATATACATGTCTAACATATATTAGTAAATATTTGCTAAAAACCCCAAATATTATATGAGTTCTTAAATGACATAATTTATAAAAATAGATTCTAATATCCCCCTGATTATTGAAGGAGTCTAATATTCAAAAGAATGTAGGCCATTACTTATCAGAAAAAGATAATAGATTTATATCACATAAAAAGTAAAGGGAAAAAATCTGTTTTATAACATCTTTTAGAGCAACTCACTCAAAATCACTGTTTGCACAATTGATATTACATACATAATTTAAATTGTTACAGTTGTCATTTATGTAATTCTTTAACATATCTTCATGAATAGCTAACTTACCTGCTTAATTTATAAATAGTTTAGAATAATTTTTAAAATCATATTTCAATTGCTTCCTTCCTTATACATTTTAAGATGTTTAATTTATACATTGCATGATCTCTTAAAGTTTACTTCATCAAAACAATTTTTCATAGCCACTGATGACTATGAGTACACATAAGCCAAATATATAAATTAAAAAACTAATCAGTCCTAAAATATGCTAATAGCAAGATAAATGCCACACACTAGGTTATTAAGAAACCTCTGCATGTCTGGCATCATACTGATAAAATATGTCTATGATGAATAGCTGAGTTTTTAAACTCTCCCCAGATACAGCTTACAGTGCCTTTTGGTATTATTTTGTATGCCCTCTAGGTTGTTTTTGTTTTTTTTTCTTTATTTCATTATTTGACAGATTTGTCTAGTGAAAAGACATATTCTTTTCCAAAGTTCATTTTAGTGGTTAAAATAAGTATAAAATGTTGTAAAGAAGATAAGGGATGTTTACCATAGTGTCTTATTTAACCACATCAATTCATTTAAATTTCTACTTTAATAAAAAATTGACAGAGTGATTGTTTTGTGTAATTATTTGTCAATGAAATGATCAAACCATTCTAGAGAAGAAAATACTGAAGATGTCTTTCCATTGGAATTAAAAATGAAAAGTATGCTGTTTCTCTTGTGATGCAGCATTAATTAATCCAGTGTTTAGTCTGTCCAACTTTAGATCTGGAATTCCAAGTTAATTAGTGTTTACATAAAGACATGACAAGAAGGTCCTTTTCATGAAAACATATATTCCTCTGTGAGTCCTCGGAGAAAATGCTCATGTTAGATTAGTGTTTATGAGTTTCCAAAGGAATGACATAATAATGCCTTTATTTGATTAGAAAAGATTTATTTTCAAGACTCTAAATATATTATATTCAAGTATAAATGGCAGAGGGGGTTAAAAACCCATAAAAGAACCAAGTCACTGACATGGGCAAGTCTCTTCACGTCTCTATCATACTCCCTTTTCAAAATTAGACTAGGCTTACATAAATTCCCCAACATTTCATCACTTGGGATGTTTAAATAAAAAAAAAGACTGTTTTTGTTCGGAAGCATTTATTCCATTTGAAAAACAAACTGAAGACTATAGCAGGGTAAGGGGAAAAAAAGAAGATAAAGTGAAACAACAACAAACAAACAGGAAAACAAAATCAGAGAAAAGGCTAGATGGGCACAGTAGGAAATTTTAATTCTAGTAAGACCAGTTGGTAAATTTTGTTTTGAAATATAAAATGTTTCATATTTATT